GGGGAGGAGGGAGCGTCCGGGACCTGCTTCTGTGGGTGGAGGGCAGCCAGAACGTGGGGGGGAACAGATGCTTTGTTATCAGGGGGGGGGTATGAGCGAGAACGCAGGGGAGGGGAGGGGGAAGTTACAAGCCGCTGAAGGCCACACGATCTTCCCTTGAAGGATCGGGAATGTCGGAGGCGGCGCGACGCGCCCGGGCCGGTGGGCTGGACCCTGCGCCCCAGATCAAGGTCGCGGGTGCGATCTCAGATCGCACAGCGCGCACCAGATCGAACTCCTCGTCTGCGTCGCCGGCCAGGTAGGCCTTCAGCTGCAACTCCAGCGCTGACGGGTCCGGCTGCGGCCAAAAAGATGGTTCCAAGGTGGTGGGTGCGCGGCGGCGTTCGGTCACCTCATGTAAAAGGAGTTGCAGGCGGCACCGCGCCGCGAGTCGCCCGGTGGATGCGCCGGGCGCGCTTCCACCAAGAGACGCGGCGGCGGCGGCCGCGCCTCAAAGCTCGGCGCAGCCGACCCCGGGCCGGGCGCGCTGCGGGGCGCGGGCCTCGAAGCAGACCCGGCCCCCTTGGCCATCCCCCACCGCTGTACCCTCGACACTGGACCCCGCCCCCCCGTCGCAAAGCGCTGCGCCGCACCCGCCGCTGCGCCGCCTGCAGCAGGGCCTCCGGCCCCCCCAGGTGGCCCGCCAGCTGAGACAGGTGCAGCGTGGCGCGGTCGCGGACCTGAGGGGTTTCGGGGGCGGAGAGGAGAGTCAGGGCGAAGCTGGTGGTGTGGGGGTTGAGGGAGGGGGCGGTGCAAGGAGACCGGGGGTGGTGCCAAGGATGGCTGCGGCAACCTCGCTGGGAGCCGGGCGGGCGGCGGCGGCCCGCGTGCGCACTTGCATCCAAGCTCATCGCAATGTGCACGCACCGCGCCAGAAAACAAGGCACCTGTAAACACCATCGACGACGACCAAATGAACCCACACACACATACAACGCACATACACACGCACATACACACACACACACACACACACACACACACACACACACTCACGCACGCAATTGGAGACGCTACAAAAAAACCACAACCACACCAAAGCACATGCACCCACACTCTCGCACACACACAACGACAAACCACCCACCTCGTCGTCGTTGTCAAACAGCGCCCGCCTCAGCAGCACCACCACCCGCGGCCGCAGACCCTCCACCGCCGCCCCGAAGCGCGCGAGCGCAGACACGGCCGCGGCGCGGACGGTGGCGTTCTCCAGGATCACGCGGTTGAAGATGAAGCGGATGTAGCTGCCAGGGGGAGGGAGGGAGGGAGGAAGGGCGAGCATGTTCGGCACATGGGTGTTGCAAATTGGCAGTGATCTGGCATTGTCAACATTGCTACTTGGGTGGTGGTTTGTACCAAGCACGCGATTTTGGCACGCATCACAGAGGCCCCGGGGTGGCCGCTGGGGATTTGAGATTTGAGTAGCTTCCCTGCGCACGCATGCACGCGCAGCGCGAGCGTACGACCTGGCCCCGCGCGCGTGCGCCAGCAGCGCCCCTCTGCACATGCAGCCAGCCGCCTCCGCCGTGCGCGGCCCCAGCCGCAGCGCCCGCCGAACTGCTCACCGTGCAGGCTCCTTGGTACCCGGCCCCTCGCGCCCCAGCAAGTGCAGGATCTGGTGGATGGGAGGCGGCGTTCGAACAGCAAAGGGCGCGGCTGTGAGTGTCGGCCACGGCCTGCGCGGCCGGGCCCCCAAAGGCGTGCGTCTGCAGGCCGCCGAGAGCCCCCGCGCGCCGCTGCGGGCCGCCCGCGACTGCCCGGGGCCCCTTCATCCTTCAGGGATAGCGCTTTGCTTCAGGATGACGGAGGCTTGGGAGGCCTTTGGGGCGCGGCCTGGCGGGGTGACATCACACTGAGGTGCGCCAACGCGACCCACACCCTTTCCCCCCACCCTGCATATGACACCCGCAAGCCTTCAAGACCGGCCGCCATGCATCGAGACCGATACCGCTTTGATTTCCTCACGCCATCAACACGCACACCCACACCCACGAGGACACACACGCAAACCCCCACCTGGCATGACAGGAACGTGAACTCGCAGTCCTCAATGAACTCACACAGGTGGGCCAGCCCTGCCTCCTTGGCATCAGGGATCTCCTGCGGCCATCATTGGACGACGCACCGATGAGTGATGGTTGACTCAGCAGCTCTTCGTCGCCTGCATGAGCTGCAACAGTATGATACCCTGCTACAACACCCCCCAGACAACACGTCGTCACCCGTATGGGCTGCCAAAGCTCTTTCCTTGCGTGTTGGCTGCAGCAGTAACACTTTGCCTCGCACCCTCCGTCCCATATTCCAGCAGCAAACATTCCCCACCTCAAACCAGCAC